CGATGAACTGAAGGCAAAATACACTATGATGTAAAGTGGAGTGGTATTTTTTCCACCAAATTAGATAGCACATAGTTTTTGTATGTTTTATTATTTTATTTAGCTAACTTACTAAATTACTTTATGCATAATTACAATCAAGTGCAACAGTTAACATGAGTCGATATCATAAAAGACAGATATTTGAAGAAATCAAAAGATAAATGTTATTTAACATGTGCAGATGGGTGACAAATTAAAGGAAAAACCAACCATGAGCTTCAGTGCACCTCAGAACTGTACTGGGAGCAATGAACACCATTCTTTGAAGAGATATTCCCTCAGTTGGAGTTTTGATGATGGCAGTAGCATATGATGTATCTTTGTCATATGCTCTAATTAATAGTTTAGTGTGACATTCATCTTTTCTTTGTTGTCAGTTGCAAGAGCTGGAGCTAAGCATATAGCTAATGAAAATTAAATTCAACATTTCCAGTGATGTTGAATTTTTTTTTTTTTTTCCCAGTGGGTCATCCCTGTCAACATTATTAAAGTGATTAAATGTGAAGTGGTTGATGCCAGGATCCTCTGCTCCCAGCTGTGCTTCCCAAACAAATTGCAACCCATGTTAAAATCCATGTCATTCATTTTTCTTGTTTTTATTTAACAACCTAGCGCATAAGCTTCTCCAAAGCCATTATTCATGCCTGTGGTCATGCTTTAATTATGTTTTTGACTGGTTCTTCTCAAGGGTTTTTCTTGCTACTGTGGCCCCTGGCTTGCTCATTAGCAATCTAAATCTACATCCGGATTTCTGTAAAGCTGCTCTGTGACGATATCTATTGTTAAACTTGCTGTGCAAATAAAATTGGATTCAACTGAATTGAGTTGGTGTGGTATAAATGTGAATATTACCTATGGGGTATTTGGTGTGTTATGTAACATGCTGAAAAAGTCATGCTCTGTGGTGGTCAGGTGAAACCACTGGTGCCATAGCCAGGTTGTGTCCTAGTCTAATTTGTGACCATCCATATGACTGTAGCAAGTATGTGACTAACACATAACAACTGTTCTTTATTTTTCAGTTTGAATTACCTACCTGCACATTAACCCCTCTTTTTATCTATTACAGCATATAATGAAAAGATCGTGGCTTTTCTACGCCAGCCGAACATCCTGGAGTTGCTGCAGGAGAGGCAGCCTAGTTTGGCCCGCAATCACACACTCAGGTGAGGAGAACTCCGACTTCATAAGAATCTTTCTGTATGAGAATGGAGTGTAAAATCACTTAATCATGTACTAAAGTGCCTGTGTCACTGAGCATTAGTTTAACACCCAAACAGACCCTGACGACCATCACGTTTGGGACGCCCTTCAGCAGCGGTGTCAGGTCTGTGTGAAATAAAAAAAAACTAGCCCGATTCAGAACTAGTCCAAATTCTAAACCTTAAACTCTGACCACCCCAAACCATTATTTACATTTACCTGATGCTTTTATCCAGAGTGACTTAAAATCAACACAGGATACAACTGAGCAGTTCAGGGTTAACCGCCTTGCTCCTGTTGAAGGACCTTCACTGGCAGCATGGTGGTGCTGGGATTTAAACTCGTGACCTTCCAATCAGTAGCCTAAAGCTTTAACCACTGAGCTACCACTGCAACTGTTTAACAGCATTAAAAATATGTTTCCTTAAACATCCAGGTTCTTGTATTATAACATATACTGTATATTGTCCTAAATAAAGAATACCTTTTAGAATGAGTACACCAACACATTCATACAGTAAGAAATACTATTTTTTATTTCATATGAGTCTACTATAGTTACTATACCTTTATTTTTTTACTGATACACCATCTGTTAATTCATTTCATTTTATTTCTAACAGCCCACATAGAGTAAGTATGTAATAAACCATGCATTTATTTGATTGTATTAAAAACTTCTTGCCTATTTGGTTTACACTGATATAATTACTAAACTCCAAACTGGAATCAAAAGACATCAATCTGGAGCACCACGCCAAAAGTAGCCACATTTATGGGAAAACTGAGGATCTGGAAATCCTGCCCTTTATTGTCTTCAGACATACATCATTGTTTCTTTATTTCCACTTGTTTATTGGCTTAGTTGAGTAGTTTTGTGGCTAAAGTTTTCAGAATAACACATCTGCCTTACTAGCTAATAAGCTAGCTACGTGTCATTGAACACAAACACAAATACACTATATAGCCAAAAGTTTGTGGTCACCTGACCATCACACCCATATGTGGTTCTTCCCCAAACTGTTGCCACAAAGTTAGAAGCACCCAATTACACAGAATGTCTCTGTATGCTGTAGCATTACAATTTTACCTTCACTGGAACTATGAGGCCCAAATATGTTCCAGCATGACAATGCCCCTGTGCACAAACCGAGCTCCATGAAGACATGGCTTGCCAAGGTTGGGGTGGAGGAACTCGAGTGTCCTGCACAGAGCCCTGACCTCAACCCCGCTGAACACCTTTGGGAAGAATTGGAATGCTGACTGTGCCCCAGGTCTTCTTGTCTTACATCAGTTCCTGACCTCACTAACGCTCTTGTGGCTGAATGGACAAATCCCCAAAGCCACACTCCAAAATCAAATGGAAAGCCTTCCCAGAAGAGTGGAGGTTATTACAACAGCAAAAGGGGACTAAATCTGAAATGGGATGTTCAGAAACCACATATGAATATGATGGTCAGGTGTCCACAAACTTTTGGCCATATAGTGTATGTTCACAGACAGACAATTCAGTTTTAATTGTAAATATACTCCTCAGACAGAGTGACAGTTTGGTCCACCATGTTTATCGAAACATTAGTGGAACTTCTGTCCTGTGAGAACTATTGCAGGATTATACTGGGATTGTGCTTAGATTTGGCCAAAATGAAGGACCTCAGAAGGCAGCTGTCTTATGAATGAGCTTTTAATTATTTCACCACTGTGTGTTATGCAGCCCAAAAATGTTGTTTCCCTAGGTAGATACTTCCATTTGGAATGCAATATAAGTTTAAGAAATATTTATCTTAAAGGTCAGCGTTTCCTAGGCATATTTGCAGGAGCAAAAAACAGGAAGGGACATATTACTGAAAGCATAGGTCATGACATTTATCTTTACAGAAAAGATAGGACAGGTATAATGATCATGTGATCACTACGATAATCTCTGAGAGACGACTTAGATGAGTTTGGGTCACTGTAATTTATCTTCTATGCATCAGTACTATATGGTACATGTTACTGTGTTTACTGTCAGTGGATGATGGATGACATGGCTGCTGTCCTCAAACGTGATAAGAGCAACGTTTATGTTGGGCTTTGCAGTATAGAGTTACACACTGAGACAGATTCCTATCTTCCAAATGTGGACTTCTGATCGTTGTCTTAAAAGCATTCCTGAACGCCACCTATTACAGCTCCATTCAGCAAGGTGAAATGCATTACCTGTGTGTTTAAACACAATTAACATTCCTCGAGCCATTCAGGACTAAATAAAAAGGAGCCGAAAATTGAAGAGTTGGACCAGAATAATATCCTGAGTGTCCTATTTTGTTCCTGCAGGGAGAAGATCCATTACGTCAGGACTGAAGGGCCACAGGGGGTGGAGAAGCTGTCTTGCGATGCAGACCTGGTTATGTTGTTAAGGTGTGTTTCCTTTAATAAAGCCCCACGAAGTGAGAGCTCATGCAGCGTAAACCTCAGTGCCGAGCCTTAATCTTGTCCTTAACAGTGATTTGACACACACACACACGGGCTATCATGCAGTGCAGTAAATCTCTGTAGTCATATCAGTATCTAACTGCATGTTTGCCTCTTTTGTTAGGTTTCTTAAAACAAATACCTGTTGAAGTTGATTTACTCTCTGTGTGATTTAATGATTCTGGTTTGGTTTTCCATGACTGAACATTTCTTGTCTTGTTTTCTGTGATTTAATGTTTATATGCTGCTTTTCTATGATTAACTGATTATAGACTGCTTTTTCAAACACATGCTGGTTCTAGACTTGTGCTAAATTATCCTGTGAGAGAGATAATTATCCATTCAGATTCTTTAGTCTAGTACTAGAGAGAGAACTACAATTACATTTACTTGTCTAGCAGAGACAATTTACAAGTGAGGCAAAGAGAATTTACACTATATGGCCAAAAGTTTGTGGACACCTGACCGTCACATTCATATGTGATTTCTGAACATCCCATTTCAGATGTAGTCCCCTTTTGTTGTTGTAATAACCTCCACTCTTCTGAGAAGGCTTTCCACTAGATTTTGGAGAGTGGCTGTGGGGATTTGTCCATTCAACCACAAGAGCATTAGTGAGGTCAGGCACTGATGTTGGGCAAGAAGACCTGGGGTGCAGTCAGCATTCCAATTCATCCCAAAGATGTTCAGTGGGGTTGAGGTCAGGGCTCTGTGCAGGCCACTCGAGTTCCTCCACACCAGCCTTGGCAAACCATGTCTTCATGGAGCTCGGTTTGTGCACAGGGGCATTGTCATGCTGGAACATGTTTGAGCCTCTTAGTTCCAGTGAAGGTAAAATTGTAATGCTACAGCATACAGAGACATTCTATATAATTGTGTGCTTCCAACTTTGTGGCAACAGTTTGGGGAAGACCCACATATGGGTGTGATATTCAGGTGTCCACAAACTTTTGGCTATATAGTGTACAAGTGAGCCAAAAGACAATGCAAGCACAGAGCATATACAGTCAGTTTCATAATTACTGGTATCATTGATGTAGATGGATTATGGAAAATGTTTTTGTGGTTAATTTGCTTAATTACACTGAAAATATCTAACCTTTAATTGTTGTTGTTCTTCTTCTTCTTTCGGCTGCTCCCGTTAGGGGTCGCCACAGCGGATCATTGGTCCGCATATGTGATATGGCACAATTTTTATGCCGGATACACTTCCTGATGCAACCTTCTCCAATTTTATACGGGCTTGGGACCGGCACTGGGAGTGCACTGTCGTGTGCAACCCCAGTGGCTGGGGTTGGTTCCCTGGCCGGGAATCAAACCCAGGCCAGGCAGTGAGAGCGTCGTGGCCTAACCACTAGTCCTCCAGGGACCCAAAATATTGAACCTTTAATTGAAGTAAATTAATTCTAAAAAAAAAATCAGCCTTTTCAAAATGTATATTTTTAACAAAGCCACATGGATGGTCTTGTTAAAAGCTTGATTCTGTTGCCATTGAACCATTTAAGTGTGGATTTGGCAAATGTTTTGGATCATTGTCCTGCTTGAAGATTCAACCGCAACCCATTTGTAGCTTCTTGGCAGAGATTTCTTCTTGGCAGGCAAATTTTCATTTAAAACCTCCTGGTACTTCATGGAGGCCGTGATTCGTTGTACCCTAACAGTACACTACTATGTGTCCTACTTAACCATCCTTTTCATCCTTTTCATGCCAAACCCTCCATGCCAAACCCTCCATGAGTGTTTCTTGCCAAAAAATTTATAGAACCCAATTCCATTCAAAGTTCCAGTGAACTCCAGGTGCTTACATTTGTAGTTAGATGATAAATACACTATATGGCCAAAAGTTTGTGGACACCTGACCATCACATTCATATGTGATTTCTGAACATCCCATTTCAGATTTAGTCCCCTTTTGCTGTAGTAATAAGCTCCACTCTTCTGGGAAGGCTTTCCACTAGATTTTGGAGAGTGGCTGTGGGGATTTGTCCATTCAGCCACAAGAGCATTAGTGAGGTCAGGCACTGATGTTGGGCAAGAAGACCTGGTGTGTAGTCAGTGTTCCAATTCATCCCAAAGATGTTCAGTGGGGTTGAGGTCAGGGATCTGTGCAGGACACTCGAGTTCCTCCACACCAATCTTGGCAAACCATGTCTTCATGGAGCTCAATTTGTGCACAGGGGCATTGTCATGCTGGAACATGTTTGGGCCTCTTAGTTCCAGTGAAGGTAAAATTGTAATGCTACAGCATACAGAGACATTCTATATAATTGGGTGCTTCCAACTTTGTGGCAACAGTTTGGGGAAGACCCACATATGGGTGTGATGGTCAGGTGTCCACAACCTTTTGGTCATATAGTGTACATGCTGCCAGAAGAAAGCATTTGGCATGGTGGTGGCCTCTAATTGCAGATTTGGAGATTTAGTTATTTCAGGTCTACAAAACTCTTCATGTTGATAAGGATGTTTTTTTAACTAAGGATGGAAAGTTTAGCATGTAAGCTTACACTAACTGACAAGAAGTGCAAAATAAACAAGTAGAAGAATAGGGAGAACTCAGAACAGCTAAATATGAGTGTTGGAGAAAGTGATACCCATGAATGCTAATTGTGAAGCAGTTAGTTAAGCTACAGATTATATTTTTATGGGGTGAAGATGGCTAACATGCTGTAATTACACTAATACAGAAAAGCAACAACACACAATATGTGATTCTGAGGTCATCAGCTAAGCTTAACTTGTATCCGGTGTTCAGCTCTGTTTCTTATCTCTCTGCAGTCTGTTTGAAGAGGAGATTATGTCATATATCCCGCCTCACCCATTCCATCCTGGCCTCAACTTCTCTCCGAGATGCTCTCCTGGAACCTCACCTCAGAATTCACCAGGTGTGTGTGTGCTGTACTCTTGGGAAAAAAAAAAAAAAAAAGCTGTAGATTGATGATACTGTCGACCCTGGCAAGAACTTGTCGATAAAGGTGGGGGAACTGATTTTGTTTACAAAACCTATTATTGAAGCTAGAATATTATTCACGTCTGTTGACATTCTCAGTAGTTTGTATAATGAATACTTTACAACTAGGAATAATTTAATACAGACACATAACCTAGAGCTAACAGTGTGTTTGTATTGGCAGGACTGCAGAGAGCCAGAGCACCTGCTCCATATCGCAGGGACTTTGAAGCCAAGCTGCGCAATTTTTACAGGAAGCTTGAAGCCAAGGGCTATGGCCAAGGGCCAGGAAAAATCAAGTATGTGTGTGTGTATGTGTTTGTGCAAGTGTGTGACATTGCGGTTATGTGCGTGATAGTTACATTATAAAATTAAAGCAGATCTAAACAGTTGCCCTCTGTCCTTATACACACATCTATTTGTCTTGTGAAAGGTTGATCATCAGGAGAGAGCACCTACTCGAAGGCACCTTTAATCATGTGATGGCATATTCACGCAAGGAGCTCCAGAGGAATAAACTCTACATCACATTTGTGGGAGAGGAAGGGTATGAATCGTGGTATTACAGCACTTCCGGTCCGGTTCCACCGTAAAAACATTGCTGTTTTCTCACACCATATAATTACATATATATATATATATATATATATATATATATATATATATATATATATATATATATATATGTATACAGTTGAGGTCAGAAGTTTACATCCCCCTTTCAGAATCTGCAAAATGTAAATTATTTTACCAAAATAAGAGGGATCATACAAAATGCATGTTATTGTTTATTTAGTGCTGACCTGAATAAGATGTTTCACATAAAAGATGTTTACATATAGTCCACAAGAGAAAAATAATAGTTGAATTTATAAAAATGACCCCGTTCAAAAGTTTACATCCCCTTGATTCTTAATACTGTGTGTGTTACCTGAATGATCCACAGCTGTGTTTTTTTGTTTAGTGATAGTTGTTCATGAGTCCCTTGTTTGTCCTGAACAGTTAAACTGCCTGCTGTTCTTCAGAAAAATCCTCCAGGTCCCACAAATTCTTTGGTTTTCCAGCATCTTTGTGTATTTGAACCCTTTCCAACAATGACTGTATGATTTTGAGATCCATCTTTTCACACTGAGGACAACTGAGGGACTCATATGCAACTGATGCTCCTGAAGGAAAAACCATGCATTAAGAGCTGGGGGGTGAAAACTTTTGAACAGAATGGAGATGTGTACATTTTTCTTATTTTGCCTAAATATCATATTTTTATTATAGTATTATAGTACTGCCCTTCAGAGGCTACAGAAGATAGTTACATGTTTTCCAGAAGACAAAATAAGTTAAATTTACCCTGATCTTCAAATTCAAAAAGTTTTCACCCCAACTGAAAACAGTGTAAAAATGCATATAATAATGGAATTGGTTGTTGCAATTTATGATGCTATAAATTTTAGTAGCCACATATTTAATACTAACTCAGATTTCCAGCTCTTGTTTGTTTCTTCAACGATTACGGCAAATCCCATGCAGTGAAAATTTTTATATCCAGCATTCGGCAAAACCAGCTTAATTTACATGAAAGAATTTAATCATAAAAATATGCTGTGTGAAGTCTTATAAGGTTTAGCTAAACTTAAGTGTTCAACATAAATTTTGACTCATAAATTCATTTTTAGTTTGCAATGTATCTTTGGTAGTATTATTGATATATTTTTATCCTAATAATAAAACATTTCATGCTTAGTTCTGGTCACTTGGTTTCTTTGTCTTGTATAGTCTGGACTACAGCGGGCCTTCGAGGGAGTTCTTCTTCCTGCTGTCTCAGGAGCTCTTTAACCCATACTACGGCCTGTTCGAGTACTCAGCCAACGATACCTACACCGTCCAGATTAGCCCCATGTCTGCCTTCGTAGAGAACCATTTAGAATGGTATATCATACCATACTCTCTCTTTCTCTCTCTTTCTCTCTCTCTCTCTTTCTCACTTTTATATCACTCATTTTAACATTACGACTAACAAACAAAATGTCGTGTTTGTTCAAGAAATAGTGATGAAAGAAAAGAAAACCGATGATAAGTTTCTTACTTTTATTTATCTTTCCTCTTTTATATTTGCTTCACAGGAATGGCAGACAAACTCATGTCTATTGATGTGAATGTTCCCACTTATAGGGTGACTAATAGGAAAAAAAAAACCTGCTAATATAGATAGCTACCTGTAGCTGATACCTAGCAAATCAGGCAGTACATTAATATGATATTGTATTAACACTTTATATAGTATGGATTACATGTAAGAGTGTGCTAGTCAGATAAAAGTGCGCCAAGTGCAGTACCTAAGTAAGTAAAGTTATATAAGAGCATTAAGTGATGTAAGTGTGTTCACTAATGCTGTCCTGCCCCACAGGTTCCGCTTCAGTGGACGTATTTTGGGCCTGGCACTGATTCATCAGTACCTACTGGATGCATTCTTCACCAGGCCGTTCTACAAGGCCCTCCTCCGACTGTGAGTCTTCTGCTCAGTACGCATTAAACACGTCTAGATCACCTATTTTATGATTACTTAAATTATTTTGGTACAGGATCTACTGAGACATAAAAAAAGATGACTTTGTGTGTCAGAGGAAGATTGCTATCCTGCGATAGGTGCTGCGATAGGTCATGTGATCTCATTTTCATTTTACTTACTGTCTCTGGTCTGATTAGTGAACTAACATAATAGCTTGAATAGAATAGCAGAGAATATTTAAAAAGGAATGGGCAGAAAAGGAAGTGCTCCTTGCATCAAATTCAGAATCAGTGTATCTCATCTGTTTAGAGTCCATGGCACTAGTCGAAAGTCATAACATAAAGCACTGCTACTAAACAAAACTAACCACTTCAAATGGTCTTATTTATAGCCATAATGGTTACACATTAACAGGTATTGTAACGGTCGCCGTTCATGTTAGTTCATTATCTGGAGCTTTGTAAACAAGGATTTTTTTTTAACTGGACCTTTTCAAATGTATTTGAATACCCCGGTCTAGATTAGAATTTAAACCATACTTTAATTGCAGTAGATTAACATGCATGGAAACATTGCATGTGTGTTTTATCTTGGACAGAGCGACTGATCTGAGTGATTTAGAGTATCTGGATGAGGAGTTCCACCAGAGCCTGCAGTGGATGAAAGATAATGATATTACAGACATTCTAGACCTGACCTTCACTGTGAATGAGGAGGTCTTTGGACAGGTACTGCATGCTTTAACCCAATATCGATACATCTGATTCAATATGAAATAAACCTCTATCATGTGTGGATATTTGTTGCAGTTTTTTTATTTTATTCACAGTAAACACAAATGATCTCAGAATCTGTAGTGGAAAAATACTCATAATAAACACTGTACGTTCCAAAGGGCGATATAACAGTGCTTTAT